TCATAACTGTAATGTTGCTACTGTTATGATTCTTCATGTAAATATCTGATATGCAGGATGGTCTTAGGCGACCCCTGTGAAAGGGTCCTTCGACCGCCAAAGGGGTCGCGACCCACAGGTTGAGAACTGCTGGCTTAGAGCAAAGGGAGGCATTAGGTACTCTAATGTTAGTGGGACTGCCATGGTGGCTGTCATAATTAACTGCAGGTGGTTGGTGTGGCGGGAGCCTAGAGTGTGGAGAAAGAAGAGGAGAGAGGAACAGGAGTCAGAAGGTGAGGTCAGCCTTCGAAGGCCTTGGACACCCCCCCGGAGGTCTCTGGGCTTTGTTCTATAGGCAATACAGAGCCACTAAGGGTACCCGACGCTGTGTTCCAAATGGTGCTGCTGCCTGCCCAGTCCAAAGGACACCTCCCAGCATCCTGGGACCTCACCTGTCCTGCTTTTCTACTCTTGGTCCACACTTGTTATCCCAAAGTCAGAGCTGAGTCTTCTCTCCCACAATCACCGTCCCCATCACTCCTGTTCTCAAATTCCACCTGTGAGCGCAGCCCTTGCCAACAGTCCAGACCTGGGTACAGAGAGCCCTACAAAATGACGGTCAGCTAAGCCAGGTCAGTCTGGGGAAGAGGAAGAGACTGCTCCCAGCTCTGAGATCAACGCAGCCTCACCTGAGCGCCCTCGGGACAGCCCTCTTCCCTGTTGCTCTCCCTGTGTGTCCTGCTGGGCTCCTCTCTTTGCCACTATTTAACCCTCAACTGGCCTTCCTCAAGTCCTATTTCACTTTTCAGGCTACTCTGAAAAATACATCTGCTCCAACAAGTTAACAGGATTCTTTTTCTTCTTGTGACCAAAACCTGTCTGCATGTTAGCAGTGCCTTTTGGGACCAGGAACACAAATAGGGCTGTCCCGTAAAATACTGCCTGCCCAGTTGAATTTGAATTTCAGATAAATAACAAAATAAAGCGTTTACTATAAGTATAACCTGTGCAATAATTACAGCATACTTCACACTTTAAAAATTATGTGTTGCTCCTCTGAAATTCAAATTTAAATAGGTGGCCTATATTTCTTTTTGCTAGTCTAGCAACTCTGTCCTTCACAAGGCCCTTGGGAATCTCTTCTGGCTTCTCTGCCTAACAGTACCTCCTGAAACATGCTTCTCACCTGCTCCCTCTACACCACTCCTCAAGTGCCCTATGTCTTTCCTTCTCTTGCTTCTGCAGCTGCCCAGCATGAGAGTCTACTCAGTCTTCAAGGCCAGCCTAAAGTCACTGACCCTGACCCTGACCACTCCCAACCTCTAGGCTCCCCTGTGCTCTATGCTAGGTCACTGTTCAACACAGCCCTCAAGTTGGTACTTGACTCTCTCCACACTTGTTATCCCAAATGCTTCCTGAGGGCCAACTCCATCGTATGTATTCTGGAGCCCCAGCAGTCAGCTAGACCTGGCACGGATATCAGAGCAAAATGGTAAAAGCTAATATTTATTGAGGCCTTATCACATGCCAGGCACTGGGCTAAATGCTGTGCACACGTCATCTCATTTTATCTTCACAACAACCTATTAGAAAGGGGAGGAACCTGGGGCGTGGAGAGGTCAAGCACCTTGCCTAGGGTCCTGCAGCTCTTCAGGGGCAGGGCCATGAAGCCAGGCAGCCTGACTCTAAGGTCTGTTCTCTGTGATTCCACTTATAATGGACTAAATATCTTAACCCAAGGGAGCAATTCCCACAGAGCTTTAAGAAGCTGCTTGGGAAGCCAATCACCTATGTTCCTGGAGTCTCCCACCCCCACATAATAAAGCAAAACAGCTACCAGCTGTGCCTAGGCCCTGTCGGTAAGGAGGAAGATGTATGTCAGGTGAAGTACGAGACAAGCATTACAAACCACTGTTCATGGCAGTGGAAGGCATTTACAAATGACCGGATTGAGGAGAATAAGTGTCCAGGAGGAAGGCAGGCATTTCTGGGGGGTGGGAAGAAGGCAGAGGGAAGGGTATACAGGTCAGGTAGGATAGGAATGGGACCTGGTGTAAAGGGGAGGATTTTGAGAAGCGGAGAGAGAGAGCACTCCCAGTGGAAAGAGCTTAGCAGAGAGGCAGTGACGTGAACAGTGCCCTAGTCCCAAAATATGGTCCCAGGCTCAAATGCCCCCAGGGCCAGAGGGGTGATGAAAATGAGTAAGGGGAGAGTCTAAGAAAGCGGTGAGGGCTGTGTTGAACAGTGACCCCTGGCCTAGCACAGGGCCCAGCCACCAAACTCCAGCTCCAGCTGGTGTCTGCCCAAGAGTGACCTCCACCCAGGCAGTGGACGCTCAGGTCTTTTTTTATTTTTAAAAGAAATGAGCAAGCTGCATTTTTTTAACTTCGCAATTTCTGAAAGGCTAGAGAACAACCTGTCATCCCACAGAACATATGTCTGTCTGCAGCCTCTACTCCGGGGAACAAGGAAGGATTCCGGTGAAGAAGTGGCTCAGCGAGCCTGAGTGCCGGGCAGTGCTGGGCAGTCCAAGGTTTAAGAAAGGAAGTCTCTCAGGAAAGAGGTGGTTTGCGTGACAGAGACCAAGGGCAGGAACCAGCAGGGGAAGCAGAGAAGAGAGAGGACTGATGACCCTGGAAGGAGACAATTCAACCTCCTGGCATTCTGTCGGCTCCATCCGTCCCTCCCACCCACTGTTACCGGTGTCACTTTGGTGGTGACAGTCCATCCCAGCAGACACTTTGCAACCACCCAGATCACATTCTCCTGGGGAAGAGGCCCAGGAATCTGCGTACAGCAGTTGCCACAGGTGCTTCTTATCACCAGGCTTGGATGATAAGCACTGCTGTCCTGGAAGGGCTGGCAGCAGGAAAGAGAGAACATCTGCAAAAACTCCTTGTGGTTCAGTTGGTTGAACATTGTCCTGTGCCCCGAAAGGCTGCTGGTTTGATTCCCGGTCAGAACACATACCTGGGTTGTGGGTTCAGTCCCCGGTCAGAGCACATACAGAAGGCAACCGATATCTTGCTCTCCCTCTCATGTCCTCAGGTGAGGATTAAAAAAAAAAAAATCCTGCCTAGGAAGATGCCGGAGGTCATAATTACTAGATGTGGGTGGAGGTGCTGGTAGGAAATGAACCAAAGGGACAGCCAAGGTCACCGGCCTCAGGACCAAAGTGACACCGGTAACAGTGGGTGGGAGGGACAGATGGAGCCGACAGAATGCCAAGATGAGGCTGGAAAGGCAAACAATGCAGTTGCATACAGGTGCACCTGGCTTTGCCCAAAGCTAAGGTATGACAATCGAGTCACTAAAACAGCCTGGGGTGAGAGTCTACTTTACAGAAGAACTCTTCACAAAAGAGGTCATCATGGGGATCCTTTAGAGGAGTCCCCACCCTGGCTACATGCTAGCAACACCTGGGAGCTGGAGGGTGGTCTGCTCCCAGCACATGTACTGATTACCTGATAGGAAGATGAAATGAGTTCCACATAGAAACCGCTCAGAACAGTGCCCAGCAAGTGGTAGGGGCTATAAGCATTGAATAAGTGTTAGGGTCTATACTATTATTATTCATCAAATGTGCCTTTCTATTGCTCACCAATCTGTAGAGGAACGGCATACACTTCTGGGATGGTTGGGAAGGGAGGAGGTGGTTTCTACTGGAAAGATAAATCCCACCCCTGGATCCTCCACATCACCATCCCATAGGCTGAGGAATCCTTCTAGCCACACACTCACCGCCAGTCACATCACATCATATCTCTGTCTGTATCCATATCTTGTCATATCTGTATATTCCACTTCCCTCTTCAGATATCATCTTTGAGAACAGGGAAGTAAAAAGGTAACCTGAGAGGAGACTGAGAACTTTAATTTGAAATACCAAGTATGAACCTAAATTGATACTTATTGAACTAAATCTAATTGTTATCATTTCCTCACTACCAGTAGGTGGGTGCTCATGAAAATGATCAAATCAATTAATAGAAAAAATTTTAAACTAGACATTTTCTGCAAATATAAACAAACAAGTCCCACTGCCCAGGCTCCACCTCAGATCAATTAAAACAGAATCTCTAAGGGTGTGGCCCGGACAGCAGTTGCCGGGAGCCGGTCCATGCTTGCTGTTTCAAGGGACCTGGCATATATGGCATACTGTTCTTAATATGTTTGCTCACCTTCTTGGCACTATGTGTTTTAACCAAGGTCACCTCTCTGAGAAAGGTTGTTTCCCCAGGTAGGGATTTTCCCCTGAAGTTAGGGAGGGAATAAAACCCCTTAACTAAGTGCCAGGCAGGTTAATTAATCACTTTAACTACAAACAATCATGCTTAAGCTACATAATCTTTACTCCCTGGAATGGAGATAAGAAAAGCCCTAACCTCTGGAATAGAGATTGACAGGATTGGAATCAACTGGTATAAATACAGATGTAACAAGACAACAGGACACAGAACCTAGACACAGAACCTAGAGACAGAAGAACTTCGCTGGAGAGAACATGGCAAAAGATCCTGGACAGAAACTGGAGACAGAACCTAGAGACAGAACCTAGTGAGAGAACATGGCAAAAGATCCTGGACTGAACCTGACTACAGAAATTGGCAAGAGAACCTGACTAGAACCTGGTGACTGAACCTGGCTAGAGAACCTGGACAGAACCTGGCTGGAGAACCTAGCAAGAGAACATGGACACAGAACCTGGCTGGAGATTCTAACCAGAACTTCGCTGGAGATCCTGACCAGAACTCGGCTAGAGATCCTGGCTAGGCTGCTGATCAACTGAACGCTGTCTCTGTGTCATTCCTTCTTCGCCGGCTCCATCCACACCTTTGGGGACCCCTGGACCTGCTGGGGTGGGACCCCAGCAAGCAGTGTTTGTTAAAGCTTTCCAGGCGATTACAATGTGAGCCAAGGTTGAGAGCCTTGTAAAGAATAATCTCCCGACTGCTCAAGTCTCTGCCTTGAGAAGCATCCACGGTCTTCACCTGGGACCCCACCTGCTCCCCAAACCGGAGATGTTCAAGGAGGAACACGAGGTGTCTGTGCTGGGGGCTCCCCAGAACCCAGGGCCCATAATGTCCACCATGGTCAAGGTCCAGACTGACACAGTGGTGCCTGACCACATCGTCTGGTCCCTGTTCAACACCGTCTTCTTCAACACATGCTGCCTGGGCTTCATGGCGTTCGCCTACTCTGTGAAGTTTAGGGACCGGAAGATGGTGGGAGACATGATTGGGGCCCAGAGCTATGCGTCCACTGCCAAGTGCCTGAACATCTGGGCCGTGGTCCTGGGCATCGTTATCACCATCAGACTCACTGTTCTCCTGGTCCTTGTGCTCCCGGGAGTCATTTATGCCGTGATGCAAAACAGAGGCTTCTAGTCGCTGCCATAGCAGAAGACCGAGTCCTCCCCACCCCCTGCTGGCCCTGCCCGGGTGCCCACCCCTTTACCCTGCACCTGTACACACACCTGTCTGCAGCTGAGCTCAATAAAGTGCACCTGTGCGTGACAAAAAAAAAAGAATAATCTCCCTCAGTCAATGTCAATTCCATTTCTAACCTGGAAATAAGCATCAAAAGCCTTCCTTAGAAAGTTCTGTTAGCCTTTGAGGCAGTGATTTCACCTTTCAGAATTTACCTCGAGAAAATAACTAGATATATAAAGAAGAAGCAAAAGGAAATAACTAGAGATATAAACAATGATTATGTGTAAAGATGTTTACCATAGTATTATTTATTAAAGCAAATGTATAATATTGTGAAGGAACCAGAGGAAGAACTCCTAACTGCTGGGGGTAAAGGCACAGAGTAAGATGAGGTTCCAGCTGTGTCTTAAAGAACAAGGGAGAGTTTGACTTGGACAACGTAGGGGGTGGCACCGAGGGGAGAGGGGGCAGGCCTGCCCTGAGGTTAGGACAGAGTGGAGTTGATTCATGTCTTTAAACCAGACATTGGAGAGTCAGCTTCTCCAGAGAGAGCAAGCCAGAGACCAAAACCAGGAGAGCCAGTACAGCCTTCCACCCCGACCCCCAAATGGTGGATGGGAATAGGGAAGGCTAGATGCAAATGCTTCTCAGACTTGTTAAAACTGCAGATCCTGCCATGGCCAGGTAGCCCAGTTGGTTAGAGTGTCACCCCCTTATGCCAAGGTTGTGGGTTCAATCCACAATCAGGGCATATATAAAAAGCAACCAGTGAATGAATAAATAAATGGAACAACAAAGCGATGGTCCTCTCTTGCCTGCTTTCTCTTCCTCTCTCTTTCTAAAATCAATTAGAGAAATTGATTTTTTAAAATGCCAATTAAAAAAATCAGACCCTGAGAAGAAACCAAGATAGCAGCATAGGTAAACACTGGAAATTGCTGCCTCGCACAACCACTTCAAAAATACAACTAAAAGACAAAACGGACATCATCCAGAACCACAGGAAGGCTAGCTGAGTGGAAATTCTACAACTAGAAGGAAAGAGAAAAGCACACTGAGACTCAGAGGAGGTGTGGAAGTAAAGTGCAGAGGTACGGAGGCACACGTGGAAAAGGCTGGCAACTGAGGACACTGTTGTCTTTTTCAATTGGGAGGGAGACACAAGCTCCCGACTGCTCTGAACTCCAGTTCCAGGCGAATCTCTGGGGACCCAGACTCATACGGGGAGAAACTGGACTGTCTGGCATCGGGCAGAACTCGAGGGCAGCTTTCTCTCAGAGGTGCTTGCAGCGATTACCGGGACACTGAGACGGGGGGCCTTTTAGGGTAGGACTGAGGAGCAGCCATAGCTGCTTGCTCTGCCCTGTTGATCCCCTGAGACCCCTGCCCCACCCAAGCTGTGCACAGAGGCTTTTGCATATGAAAGGCCTGGCCCTTTGCAACCTGAAAATTACCTAACAAACTGCAGCTGGGTCAGAGAGACCCAGAACTTCCAAAAGAAGGCCCAAGGTCCCACAGCAGCTTACACTGCTTCACGGCTGGGCCTCATCTGGGCACCTCCAAACCCCAAACAAAGAAAAAGAATCAGCAGATCTCTCCATAGCTCCTGCTGGGTAGCCTCAGGAAGAGGCTAAATTAGCACCTCCTTAGAGATCCAAGAGCCAGTGTACCCAGTGGTCAGAGGGGGCCATCCAGATTACAACTCCTCAGATCCATAAGGAACACACTCAGGGGGCAGACTCAGTGAGCACCAAAGCCCCACTGAAACAAGTCTTGCCCCAGAAGGGTATCTCCAGCACAGAAGTTCTCCCACCGTAGACACAGCTGATTCTCACAGCCAATTGGCCTGGAGGTCAATTCCTCCCAGTGATACCTACAACAATCAAGGCTTCACTACAACAAGACTGTGCACAAAGCCCACAGAGGGGTGCAACCAAGAGTGTCCACCTCAGGTAATTGGGGAGGCTGAGCCACTGGGCCCTATAGGACACCTAACACAGAAAGCCACTCTATCAACACAGGGAAGCATAAAAAATGTGGAGACAAAGAAACAGGTCACAAATGACAGAAATGGAGGAAAGCAAACTACTGGATATAGAGTTCAAAACCACACTTATAAGGTTTTTCAAGAATGTTCTAGAAACCGCCGATAAATTTAGCAAGACCCTCAAGAAATCTAGTGAGACCCTCGAAGTTATGAAAAAGGACCAACTAGAAATTAAGCAAACACTGGCTGAAATAAAGAATATTATACAGATTTCCAACAGCAGACTAGAGGATCGCAAGAATCAAGTCAAAGATTTGGAATACGAAGAAGCAAAAAACACTCAACTGGAAAAACAAAAAGAAAAAAGAATCCAAAAATATGAAGATAGTGTAAGGAGCCTGTGGGACTGCTTCAAGCATACCAACATCCGAATTATGGGGGTGCCAGAAGAAGAGAGAGAGCAAGATATTGAAAACCTATTTGAAGAAATAATGACAGAAAACTTCCCCTACCTCGTGAAAGAAATAGACTTACAAACCCAGGAAGTGCAGAGAACCCCAAACAAAAGGAATCCAAAGAGTACCATACCAAGACACATCATAATTAAAATGCCAAGAGCAAAAGACAGAGAGAGAATCTTAAAAGCAGCAAGAGAAAAACAGTCAGTTACCTACAAGGGAGTACCCATACAACTGTCAGCTGATTTCTCAATAGAAACTTTGCAGGCCAGAAGGGAGTGGCAAGAAATATTCAAAGTGATGAATAGCAAGAACCTACAACCAAGATTACTTTACCCAGCAAAGCTATCATTCAGAATTGAAGGTCAGATAAAGAGCTTCACAGATAAGAAAAAGCTAAAGGAGTTCATCACCACCAAACCAGTATTATATGAAATGCTGAAAGATATCCTTTAAGAAGAGAAAGAAAAAGAAAAGGGTAAAGATACAAATTATGAACAACAAATACACATCTATCAACAAGTGAATCTAAAAATCAAGTGAATAAATAATCTGATGAACAGAATAAACTGGTGAATATAATAGAATCAGGGGCATAGAAAGGGAGTGGACTGACTATTCTCAGGGGGGAAAGGGGTGTGGGGGGTGCGGGAAGAGACTGGACAAAAATTGCAAACCTATGGATAAGGACAGTGTGTGTGTGGTAGGGGGGTAAGGGCAGAGGGTGGGTTGGGAACCGGGTGGAGTGGAGCTATGGGGGGGGGGGGGGGGAGGAACAACTGTAATAATCTGAACAATAAAGATTGAATTTTTAAAAAATATCAGATCCTAATTGGGTAGGTCTGAGAGGGGGACCTGGCATTCTGCATTTCTAACAAGCTCCCAGGTGATGCTGCTACTGGTCCTCAACCCCACTTTCAAGTAGAAAGGACCTGGAATTAATATAAAGGAGCCGCCCTAGCCAGTTTGGCTCAGTGGATAAAGCATCAGCTTGTGGACCAAAAGGTCCCGGGTTCGATTCTGGCCAAGGGCATATACCTTGGTTGCAGGCTCCTCCCCGGCTCAGGCCCTGGTCAGAGCACGTGCAGAAGGCAACCAATCAATGTATTTCTCTCACATCCTTTATATATATAAAGGAGCCATTACCACCCACCTCCCACCCCCAGAAAGGATCTGCAGGCTAATGGAGAACCAGGGCATGGAGTTCCTAGGGGAAAAAAACAAACATGAAGTTTGAGGGTCAATGGTCAGGGCTACAGGGCATCCCAAGAATGCTACCGATTCTCTGACCAATAAGGGCTCAGCCAACCTTGTTCAAGGAACAAGAGCAGAAACCCTCCACCTGGGCAATCACGCATACCCAATGCAATCACGCATACCCAATTTGATTCCTCAAACATCTGATAAGCACCTCCCAGGCCAGGCACTGAGAATAGAAAGACCTCCCGGTGTAAAACTGAAGTGCTGCCTCAGAATAAAAATATCCTCAAAACAAGCCACCTGAGAGATGATTTGGGGCTTTAGGGAGTGTGAGAGACAGGGCCAGAGCCATGCAAGTTTGGTTTAGCAGCGAGCATTCTCAGGAAAGCAATAAGCAATAAAGTAATTCAAGCCAGAGCTCTAATTTTTTGAAACTGCAACATGTGCTATAGGTGTGCATGACACCTTGTAGTATGGAGAAAATTAATTTAAAATGGTTAAATATGATAAACTGTTTCACATTACTTCCAAGTGCTTTTAGTTAAACAAATAAAAGTTATAGACTTTTTAAAAATATGGAGATGCTTTATTTTGTTGTTGTTGTTCTTAATCCTCCAATGGATATTTTTCCATTGATTTTTTTTTTTTTTTTTTTTTTTTTTTTTAGAGAAAGTGTGGAAGGGAGGGGGAGAGCAGAGAGAAAGAAACATTGATGTCACTCACATCGAATAATTGCCTCCCACACGTGCCCCAATCAGCGGGCCTGGGATGGAGCCTTAACCGGAGATATGTGCCCTTGACCAGAATCAAACCCTGGACCTTCAGTCCACAGGCTGATGCTCCATCTACTGAGCCAAACCCGCTACAGCAAAACACAAGATTTTTTAACAGCCCACACCTTCCTTCTTCAGGTAACCACAAATGACCCAGAAGAACGAATCCAGACCTCATTCCCTTTTCTTTCAAAGTGAATCACTGACTCAGATACAGGTCCAGATGCCAAATTCTCCACATTTTCTTCTGTAACTCATGTAAACTGTGGCAAAAGGAAACCTGAAGTGTGTTTATCTAAGAACATGTGCATGCTCTCAGAGGTCATACCAGGTCCTGCCTGGGGAGCGGCCTTCTCTTGGGTAACTGCTCCTTAAAGCCATGCCTACAGACAGCCAAGACTCTGTCTGGCCTGGACCAGTTTCCTTAACAATGGTGCGCAATAAGGAATATGGCAACAGAATGGGCTGGTAAGAATCTGCCTGTGTTTCTCCAGCGGAACAATGGGCCCCGTGAGAGGGACAGTCTGTCCCTCCAGA